AGCTACACGGAGCAAAACTAAACTACCCCATTCACGACAAGGAAGCCTTAGCGATAGTCATAGCCTTCAAGGCGTGGAGGTGTTACCTAGAGGGAGCCAAGACTACAGTCTATACTGACCACTGCAGTCTCAAATACCTGAAGTCACAGCCGACACTCTCACGACGACAGGTGCGGTGGGTGGACTTCCTGGAAACTCACTTCCACTACAACATCGTCTACAAGCCCGGGCTACACAACAAGGCAGACGCGTTGAGCCGCCCCGGACATGTAGCAGGCATCCAGCTCGACGAGATGAACCCTCTGCTCAAGGGTCTATTCCAACATGAGTACTCCGTGGACGCAGAGATTGCTACAGCACAGACCAAGAAGCCATTACAGTGGGAGAAAGACTTAGCTGTAAGGAAGGGTTCAGGAAAGATTTGGGTACCGAATTACGCCCCGCTACGGCAGATCCTATTGGAGGAGTTTCACGACGTACCTTACGCGGGACATTTCGGGAGCAACAAGACGTTAGCAGGGATAGCGAAGTATTACTACTGGCCCGGGATGGCAGCAGACGTGCAGCAGTTTGTCACCTCTTGCGACACGTGCCAGCGGATGAAGAGCAGCAAGCAGAAAAAAGTAGGGTTACTTCAGCCTCTACCCGTACCGGAGCAGCCATGGCAGGTCGTTAGCCTCGACTTCATCACAGGGCTTCCTTCGACCTCACAGGGACATGATTCCATCCTCGTGGTGATCGATAAGTTCTCCAAAATGGGTCACTTCATACCGACCAACGCCACAGCTACAGCTGAAGCAACTGCTCGACTCTTCTTCGACCGCATCATCACCATCCACGGTATCCCGGCTACACTCATCTCAGACAGAGACCCCAAATTCACGAGTAAGTTCTGGAAGGAGCTCATGGGACTGTTGGGGACAAAGCTTACAATGTTTTTAGCATACCACCCCCAGATTGACAGACAGACAGAGCGACTCAATCAAGTGGTTGAACAGTTACTGCGCACAGCTTGCAAGGACCACGTCAGCAACTGGGACACACAGTTACCAACCCTAGAGTTCGCTTACAACAACGCATCACATGCGGCCACAGGGAAAACTCCTTTCTTCCTGTGTTACGGACGGGAACCACTCACACCACAACAGCCAACTACACCGGCACACGTCCAAGCCGCACATGACTTCGTCACCACCATGCAGCAGCTATGGGAGAAGACTCAGCGACGTCTCACCACGATGCAGAACTCCCAGAAGCAGTATGCCGATCGTCAGCGACGTGATCACTCAGTAGCAGTCGGAGATCAGGTGCTTCTTGACACGCGCAACTTGAATCTGTCTCACCTCCCATCCAAACTCCGGCCTCGCTTCTGTGGTCCTTTTCTCGTTGAGGCACAGGTGACACCAGTTACATTCCGCTTGCGCTTACCAGATACATGGAAGCTTCACAACGCTTTCCATGTCCAGAACTGAAGCCCTACAAGGACCCCAACCAACAGTTCCAGGGACGGCAACTACCGCCACCACCACCTGTTCTCATACAGGATGAACCCGAGTACGAGATCGAGCGCATTCTCTCTCATCGGCGCCGCGGTGGCAAGACTCTCGAGTTCTTGATACGCTGGAAGGGATACAACCCCACTGAGGACAGTTGGGTTGCAGAAGCTGATATGGGCAACCCACGCCGTGCTCTCAAGGACTATCTTGTCAAGCAGGGTGTATCTCACGCCACCCAGCTTTGAGGGGGGGACGTGTGAGAGTACGACGGCTTATGCCAGCTATGCTTGCTTGCCTCTACTTTATCATGCTATTTCTAGCATAGGATAATCATATGCATGCATGAATTGCTTGATTTCCTAGGCTAGGTGCTTTCCTATATTTTATTATAGTTATAGCACCGAGCTAGGTTGCGTGCACCGAATTCAGGCTTTTCGGTTGCCACCGAATTGCCTTCTACCGAATTCGGTAAGGATCTGTTCGGGACGCTTCGCGACCCGCGGAACCTTCGCGTAACACCTGGTTACGGGGCCTTGTGTCGAGCTTATATATAGCCTCGTGTTGTACCAAGGTGGACATTCAATTCAATTCAATTTGAATCATCTTTTGTGAGCTCGATCCCAGATCCTCACAGTCGTGCCCGTCGCGACGCGCCTAGCGGAGACCGTAGACTGGCCACCGGAGGCTCCACTGGGTACCACGAGGGAACGACCCAGTGAATCCCAGGTGGGCGGCGCAGTCAGATCTCCTCGTGCAGGCTACCCTGTTGGCAAGCAGTGCTGAAGTCAAGAGAGTGAAGCTCGTAGTAACGCCGAGCGGCGACATGCAGCAGCACCCGAAGAGTGGTCATCTTCGGGGTAGGGGAAAAGTTATGGAAGAAGTCGACTCCCTGTCGCTGACTGAAGCCTCGTGCAACGTAACGCGTCTTGAGACAGGCGGAGAATCCAGCGGCCGCTTCACCCCGAAAATCCACATGCCACTGACGATGTTCGTCCCAGGTGGGGGAACCTTGTCGACGTAAGTGCTTGTGGACTTCCACAATGCCATCTCTGCGTCTATGGCTGACAGCCACGGAGAGGAGTAGGGACCCTCTATCGCCTTTGTGTAAGAGCGCGGGGTCGGGATGTCTGCTGCATCCGCGTCTCCCTCAGGTGGAATCAGCATGGACACGAGATGAGGTCCAGCAGCTGCAAAGCACTCAAAGTCCTCCTGCCTGTCCTCAAGGACTTCTGTGCCAAGAGCACACCCACCCCCGACGGATGGAGGACAGACAGACTCTTACTCAGCAACAAGGCTAGCGGCGTAGTCTAGGCGACAGCGAGGAGCAAAGTTGACAAGCTCAGCAACTAAGGCAGACGCAGCAGTGGACTCAAAGGAAGGGTTAGTGACAACAGTGGCCAGGAGACGCGTGATAGTACGACTAGCAGCATGAAGGGAGTCGGACTCAGGGTTCGGACCGTCAGCAATGGAGGACGCAGGAGGAGACGGCAGAGAGACACGCAGTGGAACAAAGGAAGGACGAAGTGCCATCTGGTGCGTGCCAGGGATAGGAGGAGGACGCGGACGCGGAACACGATGACCAGTGTGACTAGCGCGAACAGGCAACGTAGGAGGAGACGCAGGCTTGTGATGCTTAGTAAGACCTCCGGGCTGCTCAATCTAAGGAGAAGGAGTAGGCAGCGGAGAGGCTGGCAATAGCTGTGGCTGGGATTGGTCAAGCGGTGGACACAAGAAGGGAGGAGCAAGGTCAGCAGAAGGCGGGAGACCAAGAACCTGCTGAAGGAGTGGAACGAAGTACGGTCGCGGCCACACAGCACCTCCAGCACCAGCACCGACAGCACCAGTACCTCTAAGAACTCCAGCTCTAGCTCTAGAACCACCTCCAGCAGCTCCAGCTCTAGCAGCACCTCGAGCAGCTCTAGCTCCAGCAGCACCTCCAGCCCTAGTAGCTCCAGCACCTCCAGCAGCACCTCCAGCAGTTCCAGCTCTAGTAGCACCAGCACCTCCAGCAGCTCCAGCAGTACCTCCAGCCCCAGCAGCTCCAGTACCTCCAATACGAGCACCTCCGGGACTAGCGGCTCCAGCACCTCCAGCAGCTCCAGCTCCAGCAGCACCACTCCGGAGGCTCCAGCGCTGAGCAAACCACTCGCGCAGCTACAGTGGAGAGAGAGACTCCGGCCATGACAAGACACCCGAAGGGCCTCCAGGCTCAGCACCCCCAGGCTCCGCACCCGCAGGCTCAGCACCCCCAGGCTCTACACCCTTAGACTCAGCAACCCCAGGCTCATCACCCCCAAGCTCCGCACGCTCAAGCTCAGCACCCCCAAGTTCCTCACCCCCAGGCTCCGCACGCTCAGGCTCAGCACCCCCAGGCTCCGCACACTCACGCCCAGAACCCTCAGGTCCCGCACCCGCAGGCTCAGCACCCCCAGACGCAACACCTCTAGCATCACCAGAGTCGACAGCGACCTTGACAGGCTCGAGAGGGTCTACCTGGGGCACACCTGAGGGAGCAGGACCCTGAGGGGGAAGGGGGTCTACCGGAGGAGGACCTGGTGCAAGGAAGAGCGGCGGGGGAGGGAGAGGAGCAGTGCGGTAGGGGAAGAGACAGTAAATGGGAACCGACTCGTCAAACGTGACGTCCTGAGAGGACAGGACACGGCGCGAGGTGGGGTGGTAAAACTGCTAGCCAGGCGCATCATGGGGAAAGCCAAGGAAGACGCACGGAACGGCACGGGAGGAGAGCTTGTCCGCGGACGTATCGCGGACAAAAGCACGACATCCCAAGACCCGGAACACCGACGCATCGCCAACCTCCCCCGTCCAACGCACTGTGGGCGAGGTCTCCGGCAAGGAGACAGGGGGCCAGAGGTTGAGCTGATGCGCAGCGTACTGGACGGCAAACGGCCACAGAAAATGGGGGGCAGCCTCATGGATCATGGAGGTACGAGCGACCTCCATGACTAAGCCAATGCGGTGCTCAGCAACCCCATTCTGGTGCGTAGAGGCCAGAAGTGTGAACGTTTGGGGAATGCCCTCCGCACGACAAAAGACCCGCAAGAGGTCGGAGGAAAACTCACCACCTCTGTCAGAGTGCAGACGCAGGACTGGAAGGGAGGGGAGGAGGGGAGGCAGAGGCCTGGGAAGACCAGAGACAAGGAGACGGGAGTGCATGCCACGAAGGCGTGCCATAGAGGGGTGACCAAGACGGTGGTGCCAAAGGAGCGTCTGGCGCGACAGGGCGCGACACCAGCAAGGGGCAGCAAGCTGACCTGATGAGGCTACCTGAGGAGGCGCAGTAGTTAGTGTGTACAGACTCGACCCAGGCCGACAGGTGAACGTGGCCAGGTGGCGACCGGTCCGGGAGCACGTACAGATCGCCACACGCTGCCGTCTAGGGGTGAAGGTGTCAACCCCCGCATCCTGGAGGATTACATTGCTCACCAAGTTCGTAGAGAACGAGGGGAGGTGGAGACCCGACAGTGACCCAGACGGAACCGCCAGTCAGGACAGAACAGTGGAGGAACGTGCAAGGATTGGGCCCCCAGAGGGGTCAGCCAAAGAGACAGAACAGGTGCAGAGAGCGGGGTCACTGTGGTACTGTCACGATAGAAACAGCGGGAAGCACCTGAGTCAAGCGTAAAGGTGTGCGGGCCCGCAGCAGACGCAGTACCAGAGAGAGCAGACTCACATGCATCTAGGGCAGCATACTCAATAGCACCTAGAGCAGCAGCCTCTATACCTGGGTCTGGCGGCATACATAGGTAACAGTCACCCTCAGCACTAACAGTCAATGCATACATGGCAGATAGGATAGCATCAAAGTCTAGAGCAAAGATATCAACATTCTGCCTAAGCAGCTCTGCCCAGTTGGGGAGCTCAAGTGCATTAGGAAACTCTGCGCGAAAGGCGTCAGTAAGGTGGTAGAAGCAGCGGTGCTGAGTGTGAGACCTCCTGCATGTCTGACCAGTGCGATCACCTGTGCGAATGACATACGCGCAGGGACCACTGCTCCCAGCCGCCCCACGCTGAGCAAACCACTCACGGAGCTTCTGAGACGAAAGGGGTTGATGCTGCTGCTGCCTCTGGCCACCTCCAAGGCCTCCCCTTTGGCTGGTACCACCCCGGCCACCACCATTGCCGCCGCCTCCACTCCCACTGCCGCCACCACCGCCGCCACCACCGCCGCCTCCACCACTCCCACTGCCGCCACCACCCCCGCCACCTGCCCCTCCACCCCCACCACCACTACCTCCTCCACCGCCGCCCCCTCCACCTCCTCCACTGCCCCCACCACCGCCTCCACCTCTACTACCCCCACTGCTGCCTCCCCTGCCCCTGCCGCTGCGGCGCCTCCCACTAGGGGCAGTCGCAGCTCATACCTCCTCAAAGGGGCAAGTAGTCAACAGCTGCAGCAGAGGCGACTGAGGGGAGAAGGGGGGAGGGCAAACACCCCTCAAAAAAGGGAGTGCGAGGAGTGCCACGAGAAGCGCCTACGGCAACTATGCTAGTCTAAGCTGCTAGGACGTGCTTCTCGAGCAGGTCGATAGTGAGGTCGGTGGGGTCAAGGGCGAGAAGGAGGTCCCTGACTATGGTAAGAGAGTCAGGAAGGTGGGTGACTATGAAGTAGAGTGTGATGTACACAGGGGGAGGGTTCTTTGCAAGAGACTCGGCGGGAAGCGCAACATGGTAGCGAGTGTCACTAGTGTGGAGGTGAGTGACTAGGTTGGCTGCTGTGGCAAAGGCAGACAGCTCTGGGAACAGGTAGGGCAGGAGAAGGTGGCTTAGAGCAGCAGTGGCCGGGGAGGAGTAGCGAGGGACTACAGCATCGTACAGTGCTTTAGCTGTCTTATGCTGGCCAAAGTGGGCGCGTTCGGCTAACGGCAGGTGGTTGCGAACGGCTAGGCGGGCAGCAGCGTCACAGGTAAGCCACTGTGAGCGAGTCGGACTGTCACCTGTGGCGTCAGGGGCGGGCGAGGTGCCAGAAGTGAGGTCAAATAGCGAAGTACCGTCCTTAGAGACTATCAGCCGGAACAGGTGTAAGTTGTCTAGCCACGCATTGAACTCTATCGGGCGGCCCTCCAAATCGAAGGTGAGAATGTTGAGAGCGGCCATAGCGAGCAGAGCAGTCGGGCGCGCTAGCAGCGAGTGGTAGGGCAAGGCACGCACGGCAGGGCAGGGCAGGGCGCGCGGCAAGGCAGAGGCGCGCGGCAGGGAAGGGCGGCAGGGCAGGGCGCGCAGCACAGGGCAGGGCGCGCCGCACAGGGCAGGGCGCACGGCAGGGCAAGGCGCACGGCAAGGCAGGGCGCGCGGCAGGGCAGAGGCGCGGGGCAGGGCAGGGCGGCAGGGCAGGGAGGCAGGGCAGGGCGCGCGGCACAGGGCAGGGCGCACGGCAGGGCAGGGCACGCAGCAGGGCAGGGCGCGGCGCTCAGGTAGGGCGCAAGGCGCGACGCGCGGGCAGGGCAGAGCACGCGGCGGCGCGGCTCACGGGCAGGGCAAAGCATGCGGCAGCGCGGCGCGCGGGCAGGGCAGGGCGCGCGGCGGCGCAGCGCGCGGGCAGGCTGCACGCGCGGCGCGTCACGCGGGCAGGGCAGAGGCACGCGCGCGGCACGTTGCGTGGGCAGAGCAGGTGCGCATGGCAGCGCAGCGCGCGGGCAGGGCGGGTGCGCGCGGCAGCGCAGTGCGCGGGCAGGGCAGAGGCGCGCGGCGCAGCGCGCGAGCAGAGCAGGGCGCGCGGCAGCGCGGCGCGCGGGCAGGGCAGGGCGCTCGGCGCGGGCGGTGCGCGTTTCAGTAGGGTGCGCTGCTGCAGGCGGCGTGCGGGCAAAGCAGTGCGTGCTGCGGCGGGCAGCGCAGGGCAGAGCAGGGCAGGGCGACGCGATTACAGTGGCGCGACGGGTGGGGTAGTGCTACTCGGTGGGCCCTAAGAAATCGGTCCTAGGCTAGGACATCCTCTGAAACCATGTTAGAATAATGAACATGAATGAATGAACTAGCAGCAGAATGGATACAAGTAGCAAAACCTAATTTGGGTTGTACCCCATATGGGCTACCCCACTACAGCCTACACAATAAGCAGCATAAATGTTTGACAGAATCCGCATTACATCGTATGTCGGGGTCGTACAACCAACGGCCTCGAAGTAAATTTCAAGGGTCGCCATGAATCGACGGACGTCGGTATCTCTCGCATTCGGATTGAACGTCTCTGATAGCCTTGGACGTGCCGCCTCAATATTCACTGTAGCTGCTGCCGCTGCTGCTGGGTGAAATGTCGGGGTCACCGCTACTACTGCTGCTGTCGTTGCTGTATTCGCTGCTGCCGTGGCAGCTTCCGACTGGTTCGCGAGTGACGCCTCAAATTTTCATACAGAAAAATCAGGTCCAGGTTAGTGCGTAACTCTGTATTTTTTTGTACTGAATTATCACCATTCTCCTCCATTTGGCGATTTACAGGAAGATGTGCGACGAAAACAAATGAATTCTAGGCGTTGGTCGACTTACTAGAAGTCCAATCGACTGTAGAAAGGCTGAGCGCTGATTCTGTACGTTGCGGGAATATCCCTTAGTCGAAATTCGCGTCCGATCTCGACCATTAAGAATAAATTCGATCCGACGCTCCAAATTCTATGTTTTTTGGACGAGATTATCAGGGCCCTTGAGATTCGAATCGATCCGAAGATCGAAATTCCAACTTTTTCGCCAATAATCCTGAGGAGTGTTTGGAAACCGGTTCGAGGGGGACGTTAAAAAAAAAACGCGGAACTGGTATACATACCCGAAATCGGCGCTTTCTGTCATCGGCCCCGCGGTTTTAAAGGCTAGGTTTTAGTGGTCGAAAAACTTAGCGTGTAAACAGGCTCTGATTACCAAGTGTGAGAATCTAGGATCGAGCTCAGAGAAGAGGGTTTGAAGTGAATGATCACCTCAGTACAACACAAAGCTATAAATAGGCTCGACACAATGTTGGTAACACAGGTGTTACGCGAATGTTCCGAGGGTCGCGAAGTGTCTCGAACAGAACCTTCCCAAAATTGGAAGAAAGCAATTTGGTGGAAAACCGAATAGGCTTGAGTTCGGTATACGTGACCTGGTTCGGTGCTATGACTATAATAAAATATAGGAATGCATCTAACCTAGGAAATCAAACATATCTATGCATGATAAATAGAACCCATGTTAGTAATAGCACAATAAAGTCCAGGCAAGCTAGCAAAGCGAGCATAAGCTATCGTACTCTCACACCCCGTCCTTGCTTGGGCGAAGCCGACTTCATGGTCGGGTGCGCGGGAGGTGCAACCGACAGTCTGTTGTCATAATATATCTTATATATATGTCTGTATAAGTGCATGTAGTCCTGGCTGTAGAGTAGCTACCTAGTGTTCTGTGTGGTGGTGCACCACTCCTTGCTGGTTCTCTTCTATTTGTACCTCTCTTTTCATAAAGCAACCACTCCTTTGCTTGGACTTCTCCTTTGCCTAGGCCAAACCCTAGTTACCTAGTCCTAAGCCATGCCTACTATTTCAACATGGAATTAAGAGCTCGTTCGATCCTAGCCTGTGGGCCCCACCCTAAGCTTCCGCTGCTGCTGTTCTATGTTGCGCACCCCGTGGCGCGCGACGGTTTTTTCTTCCCGCCACGTGCTCGGGGTGCGTGGCGGTTTTCTGCCCGCCACGAGCTCGGGGCGCGTGGCAGTTTCCTGCCCCGTCGCGGCGCCCCAGGGGACCCGCGCGTTGCCCCCCCCCCCCCCCCCCGTCGCCCGTCGTGGCGCGCCCAGGTACCCGCGCGTCCCCCCCCGTCGTTCGTTGCGACGCCCCCGGGGACCCGCGCGTCCCCCCCGTCGTTCGTCGCGACGCCCCCGGGGACCCGCGCATCGCCCCCCGTCGCCCGTCGTGGCGCACCCAGGGACCCGCGCGTCCCCCCCGTCGGTCGTCGCGACGCCCCCGGGGACCCGCACGTCGTCCCCCGTCACCCGTCTTGGCGCCCCCAGGGACCCGCGCACTCCCCCCCCCCCCCCCCCCCCCCCCCCCCCCTGCCCGTCGCCCCTGGCCCCTGGAGCAGCCACCCCTGGCCCCTGGAGCAGCCGCCCTGTCTCACCTGCACCCTCGTGCGCTCTGCTCTACCCGCGCCCTCGCGCGCTCTGTCCTGCTCTACCCTCCCCCCCCCCCCCCCGGTCCCCTGGACAGGAGGGTGTGGGGGTGGCGGGTGTGGGGGTGATACGTGTGCGTCACCCCTTCCTTCTCCTCCTCCGTCTCCCACTGCTGTAGCTGCCGCTGAGGGGGGTGGATGTGTGGGAGTCGAGGGGAGTGGCGCTAAGGGGTGCCGTGGTATTGGATCTAGGGGTGCAGCACGGGGTGTGTGAGATGGGGGTGTGGGACAGTTAGGGGAGGTTGAGCGGAGGTCGCCATCGTGTCGTCAGCAGCGCCAGTAGTCCGGAGCCCTCGTGCTCTCCGTAGCCCAGCGAACCTGCTTCGCCAGTCGCCTGTGGGTCCGTTACTCCTGCCGCTCGTCGTAGCCGCGGAGTCAGATACTGCCGTAGTCCGGTGCCCTCGTGCGCTCGGTAGCCACTGTGTGCGCCGCTCCTGTTGCCCGTGGGACTGCGGCTTCACCCGTCGCCTTCTATCTCCACTCTCCTCACTGTTCTTTCTCCTCCTCCTCACTTCGCCTCTACGTTTGCTGCGCCCTACAGGGTGTACCACTTCACGGGTATTCTGCTCAATGGATATTTTTGCATGCACTTAGGGGGTGTGTCAGAATATATCTTATATGTCTGTATAAGTGCATGTAGTCCTAGCTGTAGAGTAGTTACCTAGTGTTCTATGTGGTGGTGCACCACTCCTTGCTGGTTCTCTTCTATTTGTACCTCTCTTTTCATAGTGCAACCACTCCTTTGCTTGGACTTCTCCTTTGCCTAGGCCAAACCCTAGTTACCTAGTCCTAAGCCATGCCTACTATTTCAACATCTATAGTAGCCGACGCCTACTTAGTCGAGCAGGTCGACGGACTTGGTCGACCTAAGCAGGGCCAGTGCGAAGCCGCCAATGACGGGAAGCCGACGGCCGACTTCAGCCTAGTGGTCGACGAATGGACTCTTCGACTTGGGGGGGGGGGCAGCCTTGCGACGCTGACTTCGTGAAGCAGGCGGGTAGTCGTCGACCTGGTGGTCCACGATCACATACAGTACCGTGTAGTTCTGGCTAAAAGACCCGCCGGTAAGAAGGTCCCCCCGGACTCTTGAATAGGTAGGGGGGCTCATATTGTGGCAGATTTTGTGAAGACCCCTCCTTTGCCTCTAATCATCGTAAGACCCCCCCTTTTCTGTACACAGTAATTGTTAATGCTATTGTGCATCAATTTTTACTGGCACAAATTTGAATTCTGACACGTTTTTTGTGTCAGACTCGAATTCTAACACTTTACTTGTGTCAGACTCGAATTCTGACACAGATTTGACGTGCTGCTCGTGCAAAATTCGTGAGAATAAGCGAACAGGAATGAATGAACTAGCAGTGAAATGAGTACAAGTAGGAAACCCTAGAATTGTGTACCCCCTATAGGCTAACCCACTGTAGCCTACACAAGCATAACATATATGATGTTTGACACACCCCCATAGGCAAAGTGGGGGAGAACAAGGGGTCACAAGACCAGTCAAGCAAAGCAAAGCAAGCTCAGGGTGGATCACAAAGTCACCACACAGTCCGAGCACAAGAGCAGGGCCAGAGGCCAGTTCACATGCAGGAGTACAGACATATATATAAAACTAGACAAGCAAGAGCAGGTATATATATATGTCACAGTACAAGTGAAGTCAAGAGGAGAGCAAGTGAGGCAAGACAGGCACAAGACCCAGCTGGGTGCAAAAGCGCTGATGGTCACAAGGCGCGAGTGCCTTGGTGAACACATCAGCAGTGTTGGCCTCAGAGGCCACGTACGCAAGTCGCAACTGACCACGCTGCTGCAGCTCACGAGCAAGGAAGTAGCGGAGAGCAATGTGCTTCGTTCTGTGCTCCAAGCGCTGCTCTCGACACAAGGCCAGCATGGCCTTGTTGTCTACGTACAGCACTGGAGGAGAACGAGGCGGCTCTCCAAGGTCAGTCAGCAGGTAGGTGAGCCAGCGAAGCTCCTGTGCAGCCATGGCCCCGGCGTAGATCTCAGCCTCACAACTGGAGCCGAGAACCGAAGACGAGCGAGTAGCCGCCACGAGACAGAGCCGGAACCAAGGCTGAAGGTGTAACCCTGTGACGACCGCTGCGTAGCCTGGTCGTCAGCCCAAGAAGCGTCCGCGTGGCCGGTAAGGACCACTGGACTCCGCCCTCCAAGCACTAGCCCCATGCCCGACGTACTGCACAGGTAGCGCAATACCCTCTTCGCAATACACTTGACTCCGGGGCTTCTCGCTCCTTCTTTCGAGACCGCACTACCCTTACGACGCTCGGCCGGCCGGTTGCGGTCTCCCTTGCTGACCCCTCTGGGGGTCCTGTCCTGTCTCACTTCTCCACTGTCC